CGGGACTTTCTTAGCATCATTGAACCTGAACCCTGAGCTCTTTGGCTTCCCCATGGTCAAAGGAGTACGAGCTCACCAGCCAAAATCGCTTTTGAGCCATGCAAGCAGTGAATTGTGGAAATCTCCCTGCAACCCCTGCACTTGGCATCTTTAGGATTCATATTGAAAAGACATCTTTCATTGTCTAACATGTGGGACTGACTTGCAGGATAGAGAGCGGTCACTGCTTGCAAACTTTGCCAGCTGGACCTTGAGAACTTTGCCAGCTGGACTCGACCTTGAGGTAGATGTGGTTGAAGCCTCAAAGCCTGCGAAGATTGGAAGGAGCCCGGGTTGGATTGGTTTGTTGGGGCGCCTTCTCCACGTCTCCATGCTGCAAGCCATCGCAACACAGGTGGAAAAACAAAAGCACACTGCAAAAGATTGAAGATTCTGAGAACATGCAGCTTTTCTTTGCTACCCAGATTCGTTGTTTGGAGGTCTTGTGGATGGAATGTCGTTTAGCCTGTGCGTTTAAAAACCATGAAGCTGACAAGTGAAGACAGGGAAAGGTTGAAAGGTCATTGGGCCCTTCACTCATAATATGGCGTGTCTCTGAAAGGATGGCCTCAGTGTTTTTGATTAGAAACTCCACTTATAGTTTGATCGGTTTGGGCCACCTCAATGAACTGGCTCACCAGGCTGAGTTCACAGCGCACACAGCATGCATCACACACGAAAGAAGTCTAGGGAGTCCCACTGAGAGAAAAGATAAAAAGAGTGCGCTATCAAAGCAAAAGCAGTCAGTGGATTGATGAATGGCAGCCATCAAAAACGTGTAAAGCGAGAAGTGGATTACAATCAAAATGTGATGTGAGAAATGGACTGATTCTTTTCCTTTCCCTTTGGCACCTCAAAGAATTGACGTCCACATCTGAACCACAACCACCTCCACGCTGAACGTCAAACCTTTGATTCCAACTTACAACATCAAAACTCTAAACAACATTTGAGAAAAGCAGAGGCGGTCGTGTTGGCAGATCCCCAGCAATCCAATGGATTGGCGCATTCATCGGCCTAAGGGGTGTAGCCACTCCGCTGGACAGCTTGATTCAATCCACGCGGCCTTGGCCCCTCCACACTTCAACCAGGACAGTTGCCCTGTTGGGCCGGGTCCAGTATCGCTGACCCGCTTCACAAAAAAGGCTTTATGCCTCAAAAAAACTTCTATTCTAGCTGAGCTGTTGGGGGACTTCAAAGTGTATGAATGCTTCCCCACGTTTTCTCTGGTCAAATCTGGATATGCTTCCCTGGGCACATCCAGCGCAGCCAAATCATAACCACCATACATTGTAGGTGTGGGTGACTCGCCCTTTGGGCTCTTCCCCTTCCTGAGACCTACCCTCGGACGCATCACCTTGAAGGTCGATTTGCCAGGGCCCTTGCCCTTCTTCTTGCGGCGTTTGTCTGCCCGCATGAAAGGCGCTTGCAGCAAAGTCGAACTTAGAACCCAATGACTTCTTGATAAGCAACGCTTGGAAAGCACTCAAGAAGCTTCACACAAACAGACACTTGATCCATGTCATTTGATGTCATTTAGCATGAACCGACATCGATTCAAACTCAAAAACAAATTCACTGCCCACCCGGAAAGACCTGCCTGGCGCTCCAGAGGTTTCTCTGGTGTCGTCAACTCTGGAGAATCCATGAACAGCGGTCTTTTGCGTACAGGTGTCTTCATCACAGTTCTGTCGTTAGTGGGAACCTCCCTCTCAGGTCTCTCAGGTGTGACATGTGGGCAAACAGCCGTGAGAGACGACGCTGTCACAGAGGGGTCTGACGCAAGCTTGCGTGCATCACAGTCCTTTCCTGCGTAAGCACGCTCAAGGCCAAAGCGGCCACACGGAGGCATGTCCTGGGCCTTGTCGCTGACCGAGAACAGCTCCTCAGGATATTCAGGTTGACCCAGATTTTTAAACTGCCGTGAAATGCAAGCTTACGAGTGAAAAATAGAGACAAGTCTCTGAATCAGACTCTTCTTCCGATTCCCCATGTTGCGCCGCACCATCGGAACTCTCGCCAGCCTCTGAGAACAGTTCAGCCCAGTGAGCGGCAACATCTGGTGTTGGAGGCAAAGACACATTCAAACATTTGCTGCATTCTTTGAGCCCGGAAGGTATGCACACATAGGTGATGCCATTTCTGATTTCTGTCCACCGCTCCTGCCCATGCCACCGAGGGTCCGCATCAGGTTGAGAAGGAGCCATGAGCTCATCAATCCGTTGAGAAAACTCCTCATTCTCCTCGCACGGCTTGATGGCATCATGAACTGGAGCTTGTGAGGCCTCCATGGCATCGTCGACTGAAGCTTGAGAGGCCTCCACGACATCGTCAACTGAAGCTTGAGAGGCCTCCACGACATCATCAACTGAAGCTTGAGCGGCCTCCACGACATCATCGACGGAAGCTTGAGAGGCCTCCACGACATCACCAACTCCAGCTTGAGACGCTTCCGAGGCGTGTGGTCCCCTTCCAAACTTTGGAACCACAAACCTTTGCCAGTAGGCCTTGCGCTTCTCCAACGGCGGATCCTCAGGTCAGGCGCAGCTGACGATGATGGTGACCCCACCATCGCAATGTCCGAAGCTGCCTCAGCCTCTGATCCCTCAGAGTCTGAGCCATCACCCACAATCAGGTCAGGAGCATCAGCAGCATCAGCGATTGGAGCTGGCTCCTCTTCGTTCTCTGAACTCGAATGGAACTCGTCCCCATCCTCCAGAACTGGAGCTTTTTGCCTTGGGCTCCTCTTCAAGTACTCCTTCAACTCGAGCACCGCTGGGTCATGCGAATTCACGCCTGAGATGGCAGGCTGATTGAAAGAAACCTGGAAAACGGAAGGCGTTCTTTGACTGCTATAGCTTAATTCTTAGATGTTGGCTTCTGCAAGCTGAACAACGTGCATTAGAGGGACTATTCCGATATAGGTGGCGAAGGGCGCCCAAGCTTCTTGAGGCGCTTCCCCTCTCGAAGGGCCGCCGAGCCCTTACTTTCCCCGTCCTTGGGGATGAGCAACAAATCATTCAGCAGCCGGTCCAGTTTCACCATCGCGTCACCCATGAGGAAGGTACTGCGCACCTCCAGCTGGCTCGCAAATTCCACGAACAGAAGAATATACTCAGCTTGACAGAACAAACAGAAAGTAATCTGCTTATAACAGTTTGAGCCTGAGCATTCCACAACATTGAATTGACTGCGCCATGGGCCACGCCTTGGTTGGGTACAACCTGCATAGTGGCTTCAGCCATACAAAGTTTTCCCGCATCTCCTGCAACATGTGAGGACGAGACCCTCGAATGAAAACACTGGAGCAACGACAAACTCAAGGTTGCATTGACATCATCGGAAAACTCTTGCAATTCAATTGAGTTCATCGGGATTTTGAAGGGAATGAACAACACCACCAAATGTGCCTTGCAAGTCGGCCTGCCGTATTCTTCGGTCAACTTCACCAGTGCAGCTCCAGGAGCCAGGCGCTTGTTGCGAACGAGGTCCAAAGCGATATCCGGAAGCTCGTTCATCCAACCATCTGCCAAATCAGCCTGGGCATGGCTGTTCCCGCCACGCTTTCTTCAATTTACAGCAAAAATCCAAAATGCAAGCCCATTGAACAAATTAAAATCGTCTGCTTGTAGATGAAGCTTCGGCATCTTTCTCAGTCCAAGAAATGCGCCCTGGACCTAGGACATGGGGAAGGGATGGGGTGGCGCATTGGAAACAAAATTGGTTGAGGTGTGAACTGTCCACACTACAATTTCCAAGCATTTGCTTGCAGCTTGGGCGCGCAAAGACTTCCATGGACCAACGTGCACCAACTCCATGGTCAGACACAGCGCGCGCGGTGCACAAACTCACACAGCCAGAACGCTCTGGACAGTACAACCCGGACGTGCGACATAGGTCACAGACCCTCTGCCCGCGAAGGAGCTCAACGAAGAAGCGCCAGCGAGCGCTGGAAAACATCGGTGGCAGCTGGCGTTCGTGGGTCGCGTCTTCGACTCTGTGGGCGTGTCTAATGCACCCAAAAATTCATTTAAATGTTCGCGCAACCCCTCCACTTCTCAGAAGATTAGACGCGCCCATGGTTGCAGCAAAAACCGCTGGACTCTCTCTCTCTCTCTCTATCTTTTTCTCTCCCTGTGTGTGTGTTATGGTTTTTCTGTGGGCGCTAGGTGTGCCCAAACATGCGTTGGCAGAACTGGTTGGAAAACTGATCACAGCCACTTGGGGATCTTTCTGCCAACACATCACGGACCCAAGAACCCAATCCTGTGTCATTGGGTGTTCCTTCAGATGTACAGGACCTTCATTGGCGCCCGCACCTCTTACAGCTTGAAACAACTTGTAGAAAAAACAGAAACACACACGCATCCATATAAATATGATATATTTTTATATACATACTCTAAAGCCGCATGGACGCCGCAAAGCCTAAAGTGTTTTGAGACTTTGCTTTAAATCAAGAGCTCTTGGAACCCAAGAGTTTCAAAGGAGCAGTGGCACCTCTATTGCAGAGCAGCTTCAGCTGCACTACACACCATGCGCATGATAACTCAGGCAGAATCAGCGCGCGATCAGTTGCAGGACCATGCACGCATGGATGCTCCACGCTGAAGCTTTGACATCCCATGGTAAGCGGAGCTTACTATAGTACAATTTTTGGGCGGGAGGGACGGGCACAAAGTGAATTCAATCAAAGGAGTGCCAGCAGAGCCAAAATAGCAAACGGCAACTGCATACGTTTTTTGTATTGAAGTTGTCCCTAGGACAACTTTGGATCCTCACGGCAGCAGATGAAGGCTGTGAGAACTGTGAGACTGAGTGCCACCACGGTGACCTCCAGGAGATTGAGAATTACACCACTACGGGGGAAGAGACAATGACCTGCCAGCAGACCAGCTGGAGCCTATGCAACAGATGACACAGGCAGCAACCGACAGAAAACCACAGAAGAGGCAATCAAGATGGGCTATGGCATCATTGATGGGGGAGCAACACGGACCTTGGCCTCAGTTCACGCTCTAGAGGCTATGGTGAATGAGAATCTCCGCAGACATCAAGATGGTCGAGTCCTTCGAGCAACCAGCCACTTTTTGGACCAGGGCGATATTGTTGGTGTTGTGTCTGATTGTTGTTTTGGTTGTAGGGGTGAAACCGGAACCAAAGGGGAGAACAACACACAAACATACACTTGCACACGGCAGCTCAGCAGCCGCCACGAAGATCAAGAGTGTGAGCTAGTACGTGCTTCTCGTTCTGAGCTTAGTTCCAGCTTTAGAGAACATGCCGACCATCCAGAGTCTCAAGAAGGCCGAGCTCATCGAGGCAATATTCGCGCCTTGCGGGAAGAACCACCAGCGAAGTGGGGAGTGACGGAACTCCGGGTCCGCTTGGAGGAGCTGGAGGAGGAACACGGCATAGTCCGTCAGACCGGACGCAGCCGCACCGACCTTCAGGAGTGGACCGTGAAGTTGAACAAAGCCGGGCCCAAGAAGAGTGTGCTGGTGGAGTTCTGCCAGAAGGAGCTCCTGATCCCACTGAGTGGCAACGAGACCATTCCCCAGTTGAACAAGAAGGCCATGGATCGCATCTATCATCTACCAGATTGCCGAGCTGAGTGGGCAGGACCCGATCGGGTTCGGCAAGTACGCAAGCCTCCTACGAGGAAGTGATGATGACCGACCTAGGCCCTGAACATTTTTTACCACGAGGAAGACAAGGGGGACCGGCTGTCGAGGTTTGCACGATGGTACGAACAGGCCAAGGAGCAGACTCCGACACCAAAGACGTTGCCACCACCGGGACCATTGGAGACCAAGACCAAGGGGTACACCAAGGCCAAAGCCGCTCCGAAGAAAGTCATCCCGACGGGATCGGCATCCAGCGGCACACAAGACCCAGCACAGGAAACCCAGGCGCTGACCAAGATCATGAGTGCCCTGACAGACTTGAAGGACGAGGTGGAGGCATTGAAAGAGGAACGACCCCACAAGAAAAAGGACACCAGCAGCGACAACTTCAGCATGGTGAGTGGGCAAACGCCTTAGAAGCCACAACCTTAGACAATAGATCTGAGGAACCAGTCCAAGTTGCCTCACAGTCCATGAGCCATTTTATGGAGAAGGAATCTAAGAACTTAGGACCTAGGGCTTTTAAGCAGTTGATGGGTAGGCGCGCGATTTTGGTCGAAGTTGCTTGTTCCCCCGAAAGTCGTTTATCTAGCATGATTCAAAAGATGACTGGACATGAGGACGCGGCAATCAGGTGTTCGCATTGGAATGGATGTGACCTAGGTACCCAAACTGGGGTGGACATGATTTTGAACACGATCGATACTTGCAGGCCCCAACATTTTTGGATATCCCCCAACTGTGGACCTTATTCGCCACTCCAGTCTATATAAACCAAAGGTCAGAAGCTCAGATCGCACAGCTCGCTGAAAAACGTCGTGTGGCACTGCTGCAAGACACCGGGGCCAAATGTGTGTATGAATATTGCATTCAGCAGGTATCCATGTGACCTGGGAGTGGTCCCAGAAGTGTCAGGGTTGGAGACTTCCGATCATGCAAGATTTACAACAGAGACATGTTTAGGAACTTGTGTGACCCAGGGATGTCGTGTTGGATTGAGATGCCCCAAAAACCAACATTTGATTCATAAGGGATGGAAACTTCTTTGTATACTGACCGTAGACTGTTGCAAGGGATGAACCTTCCGCGCCGGCGCGGTCCGAACTATCGTCACGGTCGATGTGAGGGGGGCATGGCAGGGGTGTCAGCTTATTATACTTTGGACTATGTGAAGCATGTTGCTGAGTTCATGGTTTTGGAACATGATTACCGCAGTCTTCAACAGGAACTTGGTGGACAGGACACTTTGCCAATTCAGTTCGGACACGGACCCGTTTGTGTGTGCACACATGTGAAACATCACGGATCCCAGTTGGAATGCGGAAGCTGTTCCTTGGAACGTAGGAGAAAAGAAAAACTCATGACCGAGGCCTCAAAACAAGAAGCGTTTGGAACCCAACCTTTTTAAGGACAACCTCACGGACGAACAAATAAGAAAACAACTTTACTTGTCACACGCTGCGACAGGTCATGGGAGAACCAGAACCTTGGCGCAAGCGTTGCAGCGACGGGGCGCAGGTGAACGTGTGGTGGAGCTCGCCAAACAATTTCGGTGTTCCCTGTGTGAAGAACGACAGAAAAGGAAGCCCCACCGCGTTGCCAGCTTGGAACCCTTACCCCCAAAATTTTGTGTGGTGAGTGTTGATGAGGGAAAGTGGTCACACCCCGTGACCCATGAAGAATACATTTTCTTCTGGCGATTGATGAAGGGAGTAGGTTCCGGGTTGGGAAGATCATTAAGAGTGGGAAACACCAAACAGTGGCCGCCGCTCACTTCGTGCAGTTTTTTCAGGAACGTTGGATTCCATATTTTTTGGGACCCCACAGGTCTTCAGACTCGATCCATCAGGTGCTTTTAGGAGCCATGCCGTGGAGCAGTTCTGCGATCAGCACGACATATATCTGGAAGTGATCGCCGGCGAGGCGCATTGGCAGTTAGGGGTGCGCGAACAGGCCATAGGAGGAACAAAAGCCATCAAGACCAAATTGGTAGATGGTGATCCGGAGTTGCCTCCTGAACAGGCCTTGTGTGAAGCACTACGGACTTGCAACCACAGAGAAGTGTTTCGGGTTTTTTCACCAGTACAGCATGTTTTGGGAAGGGCACCCGATGAGACAGGTTTGACAGGGAACCTACATGAACAAATGTTGGCAAATCCCAACCGACTACCGGAATAGCATTGAACTGATGAAGCTAGCAAAGCAAGCACTTTTTGAGTGGCAAGCGCAACAGCGCATCCAACGTGCCGTGAATTCCAGAGCACAGAGAGAACACCATTATCGACCAGGAGATCTTGTTTATTTTTTGAGAAAACCGATCAAACAACCCGGCATAGGCAAGAACGGAGCCTTCCTGGGACCGGCTAGGATCCTTTGCACAGAGACCCGACGAGAACCAGATGGTCAACTCAGGCCGGGCTCAGCAATATGGTGTGTGAGAGGCAGACGCGTATTGAAGTGCAGTCCAGAGCAATTGAGACCAGCATCCCATAGAGAAGAACTCCTAGGGCATTTGACAACAGATGAAGACCAGAAAGCACCATGGACCTTCCCAAGAATCACACAGGAGTTGGGGGGAAATGAGTATGAGGACATCTCAAAGGAGATACCAGACCTGGAGGAGTGGCATCGAGCCCAGGATATTGAAACGCAACCAACAGCACCAGAGGGCTTACCAACACCTCGGGTACGACGCAGCCACAAGCGACCAGTGAGCCCAGGACCAGAATCCTCGCGGTCACCATTTGAGCGACGAGGAGGTGAGGCGAAAGCCATACGAACCCAGAACCCAGACGCCGACCAGGACATGGACAGTGGCCTACAAACAAGCTGGTGGAACCAGGTTGAAGAGACCTACAAGAAGACTAATACACAAGGAGATTACTATGGTCAGAACAAGACGCATCTATCGAGATTGAGATCACCTGAGAAGCTGCAAAACGAAAGCCAGTGCTTCCCCTTTTCGACAACTGCGCGTCGAAGCAAGCAGAGAAGAGGCATTGCTGCAAGGCCTAGTATCGCCATGGGCAAAAGCCGCTACAACCAAGTTCCTCAATTTGTGGGGCTCGAAACCCCTGCGTTTCGAGCCCCACAAACCCCTTGCCATGCGAGCACCAGGCCGCATGCGTCCACCCAAGTACACTTCGTGCGCTATGAATTTTTAGTCTGGAGAAGGAGGGCCGACGGGTACAGAACCAGTAGAGATTATCCAATGATCGGCGTTTTAGAACAGATCAATCAAGTTCCCCGATTTGTGGGGCTCGAAACAGTAGCGTTTCGAGCCCCACAAACCCCTTACCATGCGATCACCATGCCGCATGCGTCCAGCCAAGTAGGCCCACACCACCGCGTAACCTCTGCACAACTACTTCTCTTTTAAAGCTTTACGTCGCTTGGCCACCGACTAGCCTAGACACCCTTTCCGTCATGTTTCTCACATCGCCTACGACAAACTCTTGGGACCAGTTGAAGGCCGTCTGTCCTTCTCTGTGACAGGCTATCTCGTTTCCTCTGTCAACGCCGATTATGCTGACTTCGCCAACCACAGGCGACGAAGACATGAATTTACATCGTGCTGGAGAGTCATGTACAACAAAGGACTTTAACGTCTCTTTTTACCTGTGCTTGGTACGTCAGAGATCCTAGCCATGCGAGGACCTCCAGTACCTCGTTCTTCCGACATGATCGACTCTTTACGTCATTAGCATGCTTTTGTGCTATACCTCTTACACACCTGTGGATTGCTGTGCGTGTGTAGAGG